CCGGGTAATTAGAACCAATACTACAACTATAACACCACGATAATACCTAAATAACACCACATACACCCTCCAACATAACAGTAACGTTGCAATCAAATAATACAGTAATAACACCAAAATAGCTTCGCAATACTATCATTAGGACAACATCAATAGCACCAATAAATACAGAGAAATAAGTTCGCATGTGGAATGCTTCCGACCGCAGCTAATAAGCTCAGCAGATTGGTAATATTCTAACAATCATTTTGTGATTCCATTAAGATTTATTGATCAAGAGAGAATTTCATCGGGTGACATACCCTAGTTGTTGAATATGAACTAAAATGGAAAAAGAAGGCAATTGAAGATAATTCATAAACCCTAAACTGAAATGAGACCAAATATTCTTTTTTCCAATTTGGCGGCATCCAAAATGAAAAAAAGTTCGATTTGGCGGGATCCGAAAATTACAGAAAGACGCTTTTTGGATGCTTGGGCAGGGCTCGGGCTGGGTCGCACGGTAAAAAAAATTCTTCTTATTATTTTGATGTTGAGCCCACATTCCACAATTTCTTTTTTAATTGCCTACCGCACGTAAACCTGTGTGCGGTCTACGGACTTAATAATCCTGCCTTATTTAGACTGGATAATATCCATCAAATTGAATCATATATATATATATATATATATCATATTAATTGTAATGCATATAAATTTTCATGTAAATTAAGAACGATGGGATTTCATATAATAAATTAGTATGTTGGAGTTAATTATGCACGAATAATAACTAATGGATTACATTAGGCTTGCATGATTTTTATGTTGTGCTAGTATGCAATAATATAATTTTATGAATTTTTAGGATAAATGTATATAACTGAATAGAACATGGCCCAAAAATAAAAATATTAAATGCAAATAATTTTATTGTCATATTATTATAAGAAAAACAATTGGAGCAATTGAATATTAAAAATTATATGATAGAAGTTTTCAAAGGAGTGGACTATCTTGAGTTAAATAATCCATTCAACAAGCGTGAGTGGTGAAAAGGGTCTTATGACCTCCAAACTCAAGCATTCTCTCATCCTTTCTTTCATATCTTCTCTCATTGCTTGAAATGAAGAAAAAGAATTTAAGAGATGATTATTGGCACTTGTTTTTTGATAATTTCATAACTTATTTATATAAAAAAGTAAAAGCAATATTGTAATCATATAAATTATTCATTTTAGCATTTAGTTCATATACTTTCAGTATATTATGTCTAAAATACTTTGGTGACAATGATTTGTAAAACAAATACTAAATGGCTTCAATTTATATGAGAATTGTAGATCAAAATTTTTCTTATAGATATTTAGGAAATCATATAAGTGTTTTTCAATAAAATATTTATAAAACTATCTAAATTGTTAAATAATTTTAAAATAACTTTTAATAGATATGTTAGAGCATCATATTAATTGAATATATATTTATTCAAGCATACTCAAAATAAGCACTCAAGAGCACTAAAGTTTATTTTTCAACTAAAATATTTATGTGGATGTTACATCTACTTAGCCTCTAATGATAAAAATATGCTTAAAAACATTTCACATCAATTATCTTTTATTTAATACATTTCTAATAGCAATAAACCTTATATCTTATCATCAAAGATCAATGATGGTTGTTAGGTTTTTAGGAAGTGTCTCATCTTGTAAGAAAGATGGTATGGAATCCATATTAGAGATAGAATCTTATATAATTTGTTTTTTTAAGTTGTGCTTAAAAAGGGTATCAACTCAACTATTTTGTTCCTAAGGTATGTGCATGGTTTGATTTATAATGATGTGGAAAAGAAATGACTACACTGAGTTTTGACATTATTCTAACAAATTCTCCATTAACATGAGAAGTCATGGGTTGCAAGTTAGCCTAAATGGTTATATTTTGAGCTCTATATTTAATGAAAAATTTTAATAATACTATTATGGTGCTAGACTTAGCTATGTTATCCACTGAAAAAACTTCAAATAAAGTTAATATTTTAAAAAAAATATTCATTAGGGAGAGTTAATTCAGGTTCTTACCCAGCACCAACTTTCAAATACTTTATCAATATGCAATTCTAATTGGGTGATAAGTAAGAAAAGACAACATGTCAGAGTTAGGAATTATGCATTAAACTATAATTAAGTACTTGTGACATGATGTATGACCTCACAAAATATAAATAATAATATGCCCCAACTTCACTGATACTTGATTGATCAATTAGAAAATTTTAATTTTTCAAGAATGTCCTTAAGTGGATTCTAAGTTTAAATGTTGATGATATGTGCTTATGAAGATGGTTGTAAATTGTTTTAGAGCACTAACCCCAAAAAGTTTATATCTATCAATTGATATTGCCATTATGTTTCAATTATAATCATGCTGATAAAATAAATAGGGTGCTTCTCGAATTATTGTCCCATACTTGCACAATGCTTATTATAATGGTTGAAATAGTGAGGCAGCTATAATGCTTTTCTTTAGTAGAGGCTTTAAAAACACTGTTTACAAAGCCAAATATTCATTTGATTGTTCAAAATAGGTTGCTACTTATCTATTCATTAAAATATAGTATTTTAAACTCCATTAAATATCCTAATGAAAGACAATTATTTATCTCCTTAATAAGCCAAAAATTAGCATAAGGATGTCATTCATTCATTTAAACATAAACTCTTTTGTATTTCTTAGAGGTGTTTATTTTTTTGTTTTTTCTTTTATCACAATTTATTATATAGTTCTACTTCTCAAGCAACCCCTTCCAAATTCATCACTTGACCTTTGTTTGAAACAAAGTGGGTGAAGATGGCAGAAGTAAAATAATCTGGAAAAAAATATAAAGACATGAAAAATCCACATAAGTCAATCATCATAGAATGACTTAGGGTGAGAGGTCCGAAAGGATCAGAAGAACTCTCAGAAAAATATATTCCTTTAATCAATTACTTCTTAGGGATACAAAATAATACTCTTATTTAAAAAAATTATCATTGCATCATGAAATCTCATAACAAGTCAGGTCAAGAAATATAATGATTTTTCTAATAAAGGATGCATCATGCTCCGAAGTTGAATTAAGCTATTGGGTACATAGTGAATCATTGTAATCCTAATAGTTGTTTGTGTTATAACATTAAAGGGATTATAGAATGACATAATATATATATATATATGAAAACTTAAACGATTTAATTATATCAAAGGAATATGACTCTATTCTCATCTAAGAAAACCATATAAACTTAAAGCCAGATAAAGAGACTTGCTTGAAATGCTATGACTCTATTCTGTAGAATGATGTAAAATAGGGCTTACATCTTCAGGGATGGTAAGATGCTTATAAAAAAATTAAAAAAAAAAGATAGCTCAATAATAAAAATTGGAACTACCCAACAAAGATCAAAAGAAAGAATCAGATATGTGTAAGGATAACTACCAAACACCATAAGCTTTCTAAACAACCACATAAATGACTATTACTTTTACTGTCATCAGGTAGAAGAAAGCACATACACTTCCCAGAGATATGATACAATGCAGTATTATATATCCTAAATATTGAGGATCTATTTATATGCATATATTTTATAAAGTGTAATCTATGACCACATTATCACAAAAGAAACTCCATTTTTTTATATAGTTTAATTTTATAAAATTTGGTTATAGATCACACAATAAAAGAAATTTTTTTATGCAATCAGTTGGTTGGCTATAGCATTATATATTTCATTTTGCATAATCATTGAGCTGTTTCTTATATTAAAAAAAACACATTTTTTTAAAAGAGTGCATACATGCATGTGAGCCCAAACAAATAACAATACAAAAAGAAAACATATGAAAGAATGACACATGTAAGAGAATACGTACACAAAATAAAAGAATACAGAAAAGTTGGGTGTCGTTTGGTTGACAATATATCTTAGAAAGGAGAAAAAGATACAACGAGACGTCATATATACAACCCCAATATTAAATTTATTCCTTCAAATATCACAGCCACAGTAAAAAAAATACCACGCTAATAACACCTCGACTTCCTCGTCAATAACACATCCGTAACTAGGGCTGTCAAAAAAGCTCGTTGTTCGGGAACAATTCGTGTTCGGTTCGTCAATGAGTTCGTGTTCGGTTCGTTCGATAAATAAACGAGACGAACGTGAACAAATTTTTTTCGTTCGGTTAGTTAAACGAACCAAACACGAAAAGTGATGTATTCGTTCGAGTTGAATTGTTATTGTTCGAAATATAAAATAATTTAAAATAATTATATATAAAAAATTTATGATATTTTAATTTTTATGAATTATAATATATAATAAATTAATAATAATAATATATTAGTATACTATATTAGTAATATACTAGTATATATATTATATATTTATGTAATATAACTTATATAATTAATATAATATATTATTTATATATATATATATATTAATATTAGGTATGTCAAACTGGCTCGTCGTTCGCGAACAGCTCGTGTTCGGCTTATGTTCGACTCGTTCGTTAAGAAACGAACACGAACAGTGACTTCACGAACAAATTCGAATACGAGCTTATTTCAAACAAACTAAATTTCAATCGAATCGAACACAAACACAAGCTCTGTTCGTTCGTGTTCGGTTCGTTTACACCCCTATTCGTATGTTGAAAAACACTACTTCACAACACCAATAACACCGCATTAAGGTCAAAACCGCCGCAACAGCACCACAGAAGAAAAAACGATGTAATAATACCTTTGTTCCCCTTGAATAATATCAAATTAATGCCCTAATATTAAATATCAAATTAATGCGTACTCGACCCGGGGGCAGATAGTTTTTGAATGCAGCATGTTATTTTATTTGATTTTTTTAAAAGGCAGAATTATGGTGGGCCTGCGCTATGGTGGGCCTGCGTTTTGCGTTTTTAAAACAAAAGAAAACGCTTTTTAACTGTCTCTTTGCGTTTGTTTCGTATACTTGTATCCTAAAATTGCCTTTTATGTTTTCATAACAACGCGATCGCGGGGTTGTACGCGCGATCCGAGTTCTCGATCGGCGTTTGCCGTCTCATTTAAGCCCGTGCGCTCGCTGTCTCCCTTCCAGCGTCGCTCCTCCGGCCGGGCGCTCCTCGGCCGAAAGCCAGGCGAGAACCTCAAGACCCACAGCTGAAGCGGAGGAGAGCCAGGCTAGCAGGTATCCATTTCTTCGGCTGTTGAAATGCTAGAGTTCTTACCCTCTGTAAGAAATTCTGCGCAGCTCTACAATATCGTTTTCTACCGTCTTACACCGAAGTACACCGAAGTAGAGAGCCTTATATTGTCGGAAATTTCTGTATTTTTTCTTATTTGTAAGCATGTATAGTTGGAAATTTCTACATCGTTTCACTAGTTCTGTTTCTTATGTCATGATTTACGGCATGAAAGATTACAAATGTATTACTGGGTTTCTCTTGTTTCCTTGTATTTGCCTGGGGTACTTGCCCCGAGATTTGGACAACAAGCGTACATGATCGTTTTGCCTTGCGTAATGTCGTTGTTTTTCCGGATTTGCGGTGATAGTCCTTGGCCAAATGGAAAATACATGCTTTGAATCTTGATTGTGGTTATTTCATTTATTTTCATTATCCTATTATGGTTTGCTAGGTTAAGGTAGGATATTTTTTAGTGTCCTCGGCGCTTGACCTTATGCTCTTTATTATGATTAATTTGTTGTGAATTTTAATATTTAAAATAGAATAATGGAGATATGTGGGTGTTAGTTTTATAAATGGCTGTGTTCCGAGTGCTGTGTATGAATTTTAATATTTAAGTTAGAATGCTGTTTGGTTTGATGTTTGAACATTTCTCGATCTGGTATGCTTGGTTTGAATTCTGATATATAGCTGAGTATTGGATTTATTTTAATAACTCATCAAAAGATGTGTTTGGCTTGTTGAAGTTAATTTGAAGAAAGAGTTTGGTGGCTTTTCTCTTTTCTCTCATAATTTTCATTTATTATTGAAGATTTCTTAAAAAATTAAGAATGAAAGAATGAAATTGTTCTAAAAGTGTTGTGGAATTTATACTTTAGAGCAGCTTGAATAGCTTATGCATTTGAGGGTAACCAATACTTTTATGAGCCACTGGCTGGATATTTAGGGTTTAGGGTTTAGGGTCCTTAGAGATCTGCCCACTTTTCCAGGTAATGGCGATAGAGCAGCTTGAATAGCTTATGCATTTGAGGGTAACCAATACTTTTATGAGCCACTGGCTGGATATTTAGGGTTTAGTTTTGTGGGTCCTTAGAGATCTGCCCACTTTTCCAGGTAATGGCGATAGAGCAGCTTGAATAGCTTATGCATTTGAGGGTAACCAATACTTTTATGAGCCACTGGCTGGATATTTAGGGTTTAGGGTTTAGGGTCCTTAGAGATCTGCCCACTTTTCCATGTAACGGCGATAGAGCAGCTTGGATGGCTTATGGATTTCAGGATAACCAATACTTTTATGAGCCACTGGGTGGATATGTTTTTTTTTTTATGGAACAAAGATGAATCTGAGCTTTTGGTTCTCCTTTTTCTTTTCTGCAATGAGCTCTGAAAATGAATAGCTTGGTGTAATTTGGATGAGGTTGATTTTTTTGAGGTTTAGAACTCGTATTTGAAAAATAAATTCACTTATTAGTTTATAGTTCTTGCCAATTAGTTGAAGGCTTCAATGACAAAAAATAAAATACTATGAAGTAAAATAAATTTACTTCCTCTTCAATTTCTTCAAACCAATCTTTTCTACTCTCGTTGACCTCACACCTCACTTTAATTGATTTGAATTCTTCAATTGCTTGATTGCTTGAGATGGTTTTTTTTTATTTGGACGCTGTATGATTCTGTTTTCTTCTGCATTCTTATCCATTTTGCTGTTAAATCATAGACTCATTAAATCCTGTCATTTAACAGATACAACTGCACCATCACTCGATCAAAGGGTCTTGATTCGATCTCTCCACTCTCTTCTTCACCGTGCACTTCTGTGTTGTGCAGTGGTAGTAGCTCCTGCATGGAATATATGTAGACTCAGCATTACTTTTTCCTTTAGTATAAAATTTTTATATATGTTAGTTTATCAGCTTATAGGTTAGACCTTGGATAAGGGCTGTCCTTCACTGCCTTTTGGCTGTATTTCCTCCATCTATAGCCATCTTTAAGTTGATCCACTTCGCTTTTGGTCATAAAAGCAAAACGGGGCTCTCTTTGCCTCTTCTTCCCCTTCTTCTTTGCCTTGCTGCTGTGACTTATAAGAAATTAAAACAATAATTTTTACTTAGAGAGCTCAAATCAGGCAAGCTAAAAATCATTATCATATATAGTTATACTAATTTCAAAAATTGGAAATGGTATTAGATCTACACACATAGAGGATATATACTTATTTAAATAACATTGCAGAATCCAGATCTTAAGATCTGTTGAATCTATAATACTTAAACAGAAGCTTAATTAATTAGGTTAATCAGAAAAGTAGACCGATCTTTATAGATCTTACAAAAGAATACGAAAGAAAAAATTTTCAGGATCTTCTTTGCATTTAGAAGAAACTCTAGCTTTAGAAGCTGGCCTGCTGCCCTATTTTTTAGCAAACCTTAAAAAAGAAGGAGGAAGAAAAATTCAATCCGGCTAAATCATAAGAAGAAAAAAATTAAAATATATAGTAAATATAATTAATAACCCTTACATACATACTACCCAATTTCAATGTCTTCATATATCTAGCACCAAAATTTTATTTTTTGCATTTATACCACCCAAATTTTGCATAGCACATCAAAAAGACAATCATTTTAACTTTTAAAAAGTGAGATACACCTAAAGGTGGCATTGCAAAAATTGAAGTTCAGGGGTTAAACATGTAAACACAAAAGAATTGAGTGGCACTTACGTAAATCTTAAAAAAAAAAAAAGACTCACCTGCGCTATATTAAGTGAATCTGATTCAAGTATTCAACAATAAACGCGAAGAATTCGGCACTATTAAATCACATAAATGAAATAATGGAGCTAAAGTTAATCGGTATGTTCAAATTAATCAAATGACAAGCAAATTTTCATATGTCATGAACAAGCAAATCTACACGAAGCAAAATAAAATTGCTGCTGAAGTTACGGTCCTTAGGGCTGCCTTTTGCTTCAGTTCGTATCAAAGATTTCAAAGTTTCATTTGATAGCGCCTCAAAAAATTTCTCTTCTTTCTGTCCACCATTATCTTCTTCACCAACTACTTCATCCTTTTTACTACCACCGAAGTCTTCTTCCCCTTTGTTTTCTGTGGCATACTTGGGTAGAAATGATATTTATTTTAACTTGATATTATTATTATTATTATTAATAAGTATTAGAATAATTTTCTTATAGAGAGAGGGTTTATTATTTAACTATCAATTATTATTATTATCAAATAATAATTGATAGTGAAATGTAAAAGGTGCGAGGGATATGGATGATAGTTAGTTTGATCATTCACATGATAGAAAAGAGAAAATTATGTGTCTTGTAAACAAGTTTTGGGCGATAGGGTTGTAATGAAGAGCTTGTTAAGTACCTCGTGCTTGAAGTATTAGTTAGTAATGTCGTTTCATATATTCGTTTGGCATATGGCAAATTGGTAAATTGTTTCCCATTGGAAACTTTTCAATCATATGTAGTGAGTCCTCTTTGCTAATGTCGAGCTTTGCTGTTTACCTTTACCTGTTTTTTTTTTTTTATTTGGAGAGTATGAATGAGAGGACATGAAAATGAATATGAATTTGTTCTGTGAGTTTTCCAAATTTTATTTATCTGTTTTCAATTTGAATTTTTTTTTTTATTTCATGTAGTTTCTTGACTATTATACTCTCTCTTAAATAATTGTAGTAAGATGAGCTATAGGTTTTTAGGAAAGTCCGGGCGAGTGCTATGCCGTTGCGGATTGCTATCCTTGTTACTCACTTCACGCCGATAACATAGCTACTGGTGACAGTTCTACAGGTGCCTGTGGTGGGCTGACGGACCTGATGACTGCAGTTTCTTCAGGTGGGCAGACAGCCCGTCAGATTCAACGTTATCCAAACCGTACAACGTTGCACGGGGTTCGACGGTATCACAAACGGAGAACGTCACTTGTGTGTTAGATATGGCTCATATCTAGGGAGTTGGAGTTTTTTGGTGAAGAGGTGTGTCTCCTAGTGAAAAGGAGTGTCTCTTGAAAATAAAGGGGGTTGGGGGGAGCGAGGGCGTGATTGTAATTATCTGTAGGTTTTATCTATAAATAGATGTGTAACCCTATGGGTATGTAACTTCTCTGAGATAGTGAAACCACCGCTCGCTCCCGAGGACGTAGGCAATTCTTTGCCGAACCTCGTTAAATCTCTATGTTCTTCTGGTTTTGTGTCGATTCCTGTTTTTATTCCGCTAATTTCACAACAATTGGTATCAGAGCCTCTTTCGAGGGAACATGAGGAAATCGAAGCAAGAAGAAGAAGAAGGGTCAGAATCGTTGTGGTTCGCTGCATTTGTTGCGACAGTTTCTGCAGCAGTTCGCGTGGAGGCGGATTCGCGCGCAATATGAAGGATCGCCAACGGAGTTCGGCCCAGAGGAGATTCGCCGAAGGAGGAATCGCGAGTGCGGCAGTTCGGAGTCGCGGATCGTGAAGGCAGAGGCGAATCGCGACAAGAAGTCCTCGCGAGGCTTCGGACGCCTTCGTTCGCGACTCCCTCCGGAAGCGTCGCTTCGCTCGGTTTCGCGAAGGCGGGAAGGAGAGAGAGTCTCTTGGTTTCGCGGGTAGGCAACGACAAATTCAGGAGCAGGATTTCCGTTGCGGGAGCAGGTTCCCTTTCGCAAACAGGCGGGAGAGTTCGCTGCAGTTGCAGGAAGGATAATCACGCTCTTCAATTGGTGGTAGCGAACAAGAGTTCGCAGTACCGTGAAGGGGAGGAGTTCGACAGGTTTAACAATCCGTGGGAAACAGAGGCTGTACCCCACGAACAGGAGCCTTATTTTGCGGAAAATCTGAGAAATTCGATCAGTTAAATTTGTCGGTTCGTCGCAGGAGATTTTGCGACAGTGGAGTTCGGCAGGGTGCAGGAGGCGAGCAGGTACGATTATTTCGTGAACAAGAGTTTCGTGGAGGTATTCCTCAAACAGGTGCGAAGGGATTCGTTGCTCGCGGAAACAACAATTGGC